CCATGAAATTCACAATTTACAATTTTGAAAGAGGCACCATTGCTCATCATAATTATTAACTTAGCATGCTTACTCTATTTACTTAATACCCAGAGGTAGATCAGAGTAACAAAGAGAAATGCACTTACACTTTATACCCAGTTGTGCATCTCACCCTAAAGGCACCACTGACCCATGGGCCACATATTTCAAAATTTTGCAAATTTTATCATAAAATGGTTGATTAATACCAAAGAGCAGATTTCAAAGCATTAATTTATTTTCAGACTATATAACCCCCTCCCCCTCTGACCCTGGGGGCATTAAAAAAACACTTTGCTAGATGCACCTTTCTTCATCATAAATATATATATATACTTGGATCATTGGCATAAAACCCAGAAGCAAAGGAAAATATTTTCAAAGAATTAATGTATTTTTACTATATAATCAATAGAGCCCCACCCTAACACCAGAACCCCTAACACTGGGGCCAGAAAATTCACATTTTTGGAAGAGGCACTCTTGCTCATCATAACTACATGTATGATCTTAGTTAGTTTATTTAATACGCAGAAGCAGAGAAGAAGATTTTCAAGGAATAAATGCATATTAACTATATAATCTATAGAGCCCCGCCCTAACACCAGAACCCCTGACCCTGGGGCCATAAAATTCTCAAATCTGGAAGAGGCACTCTTGCTTATCATTACTATGTTTTAGTTAGTTTATTTAATACCCAGGAGCAGAGAAGAAGATTTTCAAGGAATAAATGCATTTTCCCTACATAATCTATAGAGCCCCGCCCTAACACCAGAACCCCTTACCCTGGGGCCATTAAATTCATAAATCTGGAAGAGGCACTCTTGCTTATCATTACTATATGTTTAGTTAGTTTATTTAATACCCAGAAGCAGAGAAGAAGATTTTCAAGGAATCAATGCATTTTCACTATATAATCTATAGAGCCCCGCCCTAACACCAGAACCCCTGACCCTGGGGCCATAAAATTCACAAATCTGGAAGAAGCACTCTTGCTCATCATAACTATGTGCTTAGTTAGTTAATTCAATACCCAGGAGCAGAGAAGAAGATTTTCAAAGAAATAATGCATTTTCACTATATAATCTATAGAGCCCCGCCCTAACACCAGAACCCCTGACCCTGGGGCCATAAAAATCAACAAGAGGCCCACGGGCCTTATAGGTCACCTGAGTATCATGTAACAACTTTCCAGCGATTGTATTTGGTTCGTGTTTTAATCCAAAAGCCATGAAATTCACAAATTTTGAAAGAGGCACCATTGCTTATCAAAGGGCAGATTTCAAAGCATTAATTTATTTTTAGTCAAAGTACCCCCATGGTACCCCTGACCCGGTGGCCCTGAATTTATCGATTTTGAAAGAGGCCCCTCTCTTCATTAGAAGGCCAGCATTTTTTTATCTTCAGGTTTAGTTATGAACATAAGAATAAAAAAGTCCCGAAGGAAAAGGAAATAAAAAAAAAATTTGATAAATCAATTATAACAATTTGTACATTCTTTTTTTATGCTATTCTAATAGGCTCCTTACCACTGGACACATAATGCTTACAAATAGGAAAGTAGAACATTTAATTGCTTATTTCATCATCCGCCAGTTTGGGCCAGTTATATAAATTTTGTGATGTTGGTCAAAATATATTTTAAAAAATCAATTCTTTAAAAGTCTTTCAAGATATCTTCATTTTTTAAATATGTGTTAGGTGAATGTGTAGACATTGTTCTAAAATTTACTTGATGCCTAAAATTATAATTCCTATCATAAAACAGACAGGGAGTATTGGGGAGTAGGGTGAATATTTTTTCAATTAAGTGTAAAATAATTTCTCTGGCTGATACAAATGATACTACATGCCTGTATATATTTGTATATTCTTGCCTTTTCATAGTTAATTTTTTTTTATTTCTTCAGGTTATTGTTCATTTCTTCCTCAAATGGACTTAACTTCTCCCATAGTTTTATTCATTACATCTGATGCATAAGCAACCCTTATCTGAAGAATGATGCTTAGACTGTAAGCTATAACAGAGACCTAAACAATGTCGCTGGCAATATGCAATAGCTACCACGTACGGGCAGTTTAAAACCTGGGGGAGGAAAATAATTTACAGACAGATATAGATACTTTTGAAACGAATACATAATTATCTCACCAGCAAGTCATTGTGCAACAAAGTCGTCAGCATTTTATTTGTCCTTTAACGGGTGAAACGTTTTGAATGGCACTCGTATCGATGAATTTTACACTAAACCAAGAAAGCTTTATTTACCCGCCGTTTCATCTTAAAACCGGAAGTGCGAGTTCGTAAATTTGAAATCTCGATCTCGACTCATATTTGACCATCGGGGAAAAAAATGTTTTATTTTTTTCCTGAAAATTCAAAACCTTGAGTGGAGGATTTGTACAACTGAAAATAAAATAAATCCTGGCCTTAAATATTTTATTAGATCATTAGCATATTAACCAGGAGCAAAGGATAAGATGTTCAAAGAATTCATGCAATTCACTATATAATCATTAGAGCCCCACCCTAAAACAAGAACCCCTGACCCTGGGGCGATAAAATTCACAATTTTGGTAGAGGCACTCTTGCTTATCATAACTATGTACTTAGTTAGTTTATTTAATACCCAGGAGCAGATAGGAAGATTTTCAAAGAAATAATGTATTTTCACTATATAATCAATAGAGCACCACCCTAACACCAGAACCCCTGACCCTGGGGCCATAAAATTCACAATTTTGGTAGAGGCACTCTTGCTCATCATTACTATGTACTTTGTTGGTTTATTTAATACCCAGGAGCAGAGAAGAAGATTTTCAAAGAAATAATGCATTTTCACTACCTACTTATTTAACCCCACCCTAGCACTAGAACCCCTGACCCCAGGGCAATGAATTTCACAATTTTGGTTGAGGACTCATTGCTGATTATAATCATGCAAACAGTTTGATTGCTTGATGTCCAGGAGTAAAGAAGAAGATTTTTAAAGATTGTATTAATTTTAGTGGTTTTGGCCCCACCCCTCAGGCCCCAGGGGGGCAGGGATCATGAAATTCACAATTTTTGTTCCTCTTCACCCATAGATGCTTTGTGCCAAATTTGGTTGAAATTGGTTAAGTGGTTGCAGAGAAGAAGCTGAAAATGTTCAAATGTTAACGCACGACGCATGACGAACGACGACGGACGAAAACAGATAGCAATAGGTCACCTGAGTTTACTCAGGTGACCTAAAAATCTGGAAAAGGCACTCTTGCTCATCATAACTATGTGCTTAGTTAGTTTATTTAATACCCAGGAGCAGAGAAGAAGATTTTCAAGGAATAAATGCATTTTCACAATATAATCTATAGAGCCCCGCCCTAACACTAGAACCCCTGACCCTGGGGCCATAAAATTCACAAATCTGGAAGAGGCACTCTTGCACATCATAACTATGTGCTTAGTTAGTTTATTTAGTACCCAGGAGCAGAGAAGAAGATTTTCAAGGAATAAATGCATTTTCACTATATAATCTATAGAGCCCCGCCCTAACACCAGAACCCCTGACCCTGGGGCCATAAAATTCAAAAATCTGGAAGAAGCACTCTTGCTCATCATAACTATGTGCTTAGTTAGTGAATTTAATACCCAGGAGCAGAGAAGAAGATTTTCAAAGAAATAATGCATTTTCACTATATAATCTATAGAGCCCCGCCCTAGCACTAGAACCCCTGACCCTGGGGCCATGAATTTCACAATTTTGGTAGAGGACTCAATGCTCATTACATTCATGCCAACAGTTTGCCTGCTTGATGTCCAGGAGTAAAGAAGAAGATTTTTAAAGATTGCAATAATTTTAGTGGTTTTGGCCCCACCCCTAAGGCCCCAGGGGGGTGGGAACCATGAAATTCACAATTTATGTTCCCCTCTACCCATAGATGCTGTATACCAAATTTGGTTGAAATTGGTTCAGTGGTTTCAGAGAAGAAGCTGAAAATGTTCAAATGTTAACACACGACGGACGACGACGGACGAAAACGGATAGCAATAGGTCACCTGAGTTATCCGAATCCGTCGTTGTCTTTTGTGTAGGTCGTCATGACGGCCGTGTCTGCGTCCCATTGGTAATCCATATAAGGAACGACAACTCGCTGTCTTCTTAATTTCTTTCGTACGTGCTGGTGTAAGGTATACGTCTCTTGCTTCTGTAACCACTTGCAAATCTTGGCGCGACCCAGAACGTATTTTCCCTCTTTTCTTACAGCCCGATACAGTTTCTCCACTCCCCCGAACGATCCCGGGTGACCGGGATCGTAATACACGGCTTTCAAGTAATCTTCGGAAGTCATCTTTTTTTTTTTAAATTCGTCTCTCTCGTTCTCGAGCGACGTTCTTATAAACACACGCCCAATTCCAAGATCGTGGGATACACCACATTTTCGAGATCATTTTGACGTTTGATACCCGTGATGATCAGTGCACCCGAGAAATGCAAAGTGAAATGAATTCCGTCGCGTTTAAACATGACGGCGGGAAAGAGTTCGGGGTCATACCGATAGTCGAATGGAATGCGATCCAGCATCACCCGCTCCTCTAAGTGATGGCTGGCGGAAACGGTCAGAACTTGGACGTCAGTCAAGGTCACGGGACATCCCTTTCTTTGGAGGAGACGCGCATAACCTGTCAGTCGTCAAACACCTTCTCGGATGGACCCACATTTCCCGTTACAATTGATTTTACCATGGACAAACAATAGGCAATTACCTCCTAAACGTCTGTGCTGCCAAATGAGACCACTGAACCTGGCCGGATCGTACCGAACATTCACCAGAGCATGAGCCAACTCCCGTAAATCCAAAGCACAGTTCAGGCGCGCCTGTACGACCACGTTAGTCAACTGCATGTCCAAGAATGACAATCTCGCTTGGAACTCAACCATTTATTAACATCACGTGACATATATCCTTTGACAACTTGCACTAAAAAAATGATCAAGTCAAAAATACACCCATCGTCTCACAGTAACCGATGGAGTTTGGACATACGGCGCCGATTTCAAAGTCTCTGCATGCGGCGGCGCCGGCGGTGTTTGAAAGGTCTCTGCATGCGGTGGCGGCGCTTTTAAGGTCTCTGCATGTGGCGGCGGCGCTTTAAAGGTCTCCGCGGGCGGCGGCGGCGCTTTATAGACCTCCGCGGGTGGTGGCGGCGGCGCTTTACAGGTCTCTGCAGGTGGCTGCGGTGACGGGGGTGGCGTTTGATGACGCTCTTTGTATGGCGGTGAGCTAAGGATCTCCAATTGCAGCCCTTGTTCAGTCTCGGTGAATGGTGAGTCCTCAGTCAATGACGTCTGCGTGTTCACTTCCTTCCGTGGTGAAATGGGTTTCAGTTCGTGTTGGCGTTTTCTGTGTCGCAGTAAGACGTCTTTTCGAGAAAACGCTTTATGACAATCCACACAAATGTTGGATTCTTTTCCTTCTTTAGAGAGCAGACGTCGGTACTTGTCGTACGGAATCAAGATGGACATGGTCGCCATGGGAGGTGAGGCAGTGCCGTCTCCAGCACGTACTTCAAAGGGTTAGCTCCTTTCTGCAACACTCTCAGCTTTCGATGTCGCTCGATTCTCCTGTCACCCACCACGTATAATACAGACCTTTATTTTTTCAAGACGTTTCGCTGTTCGGGCATCAAAGGTACGTTTCCCACCAGCACGTTGTGAACGATCTCGCTTAGGGTTCGTAACTGAGCATCGGATAGGGTCTGTATTAACGCTTTTCTTTGTTTCAGACCGGCAGTAACGTAGAGTTGCAGGAAACGGCGCTGCTGGTCGAGAAGGCGACTCATGACGATCCTAACGTTCGTACCCCAAGCGTCTCATAAACTTTGGTAGATCACGTGATCCTCTCCCGGAAACACGTGAGTGCGTAACCGATATCGATCGTCGGCGTGAGGGGACGTGTCCACCATTAAGTAACCATACGGTTCTTTGGTGGCGTCCCTGTAAACTTCCGTCAAAAGTCGGGCTCGACCGGGAAACAGCTGGCGGCCTAAGACGCTCACCTGCGAGGCGTCTCGAGCATTCTTCATCAGTACCAGGTAATAGGTGTTGAGAGCGATGGTGCGAGACTTGGATCCCCGGGGAAACAGGTTCTGCGTTAAAAACACGACGCTGACTCGGCGATGATGGCAGCCTTGCGTAAACAACAATTCTGCGTCCGTATCTTGAACCACGCGATGCATCAGATCGTCTAGGACGATCAGTCGATGTGTTCGATCTTTGGTAATTTCGTCCAATTCCTCGGAAGTCGGTAGACCCTGTCGAAGTGTCAGGTGTGGTAACTCTCGTTCTATGTCGTCGAAAAGAGGTTGATGAATGCCGTAACAGTACAAGATGCGGTCGGGTGGTTCTTCCGGGTACATCTGACGAAGGTGACGGAGTAATCGATACACGAACCGGGTTTTACCGCTGCCCGTCTGACCCGTGACGCACATGCTGGAGCACGGCTTGAGGGGAAGCGTGACATCCAAGTTAGTGTACCACACAAGGAAGTCTTGGAATGTGGTCATGCCGTTTTCCCTCCAGACAGACTGACAGAACCCGTACTCCACGTCACTGATGTTGGTATTCTTTAACGAAGAGTAAAAGGTCTCGTGGGGAGGAAGTGACGTATGGTCTAGCTTACTCGGATCATCGAACCACTCGTACGGAAAGAGTCCTTTGTTTTCCGAGACATCGTAGGCTTTCAAAAATTTGGCGTAGTTGATCCCCGGTGACAAGTAAGACGTAATGTTTAGGAATTTGAAAGCACTGGTGCTGAGACAAGCGTATTGATTATTTCTCTTGACCGTGAATACGTTGTCCTTTTCCATCTCCAGATGCTGTGCGAGTCGCGATTTTACTAAGTTCATATCATACTTGGAGGAGTTGAAACCCAAGCAAATGATTTGCTTGCAGTAAAACTCCAACTCCTCCTTCATTTGGTTTAGCTTTTTGACCAATTGGTCCATCGCAGAATCTGAAGGGAGCCTTTCTTCGTCATCGCCGTGATTCTCCCAAAGAAAATATTCCTCCCGCAAATTCCCAAAAGCGTCTAGAACGTCGTCGTCGTTGTCAGAACTCGTCTTTCACAGTTCGGGAGGGGGATCCTTGATCATGTCCTCCAGTTGTCTCAAGGCCTAGCCAAACTTCTCCTTGGCCAGTTCTTCTCTCTTGCCCGCTACTTGTCTCAGGTACTCCACCATATTGCGAACCAAGGAGTCGATATCGGGGTCCACGATGCAGTGTGGGAACAAGAAGCCATCTACGTTGGAGCAGATGCTCACGGATATGGGACGATGCTCTGCGGTCCACTTTAATTTTTTTCCCTCTTCGTCCAGGCAGGGCACAAGGAGAGCTTCAAAATCGTACACGAGAAACCTGGGGAACAGAGATCTTTGACTGATACGTACACATCGTATTCCTCGAGCTTGTCAAAGATCGTCTTGGGCGAGGTGTACATGCCTCCCGGGAAATCGTACGTGGTAACACCGCTGCATATCTTTTGATGTCGTTGCATATTATCGACACGATTGAAGTGTCTCTCGCAGGTCCGGCACTGATACTTAATGGCGTACATAGAGAATTCTGTTATGTAAGATAGATGGTCTTCAAATAGGTTAAGGTACATGGTCGTGCTGTACTTACATCGAGACTTGTAAACAGATTGGGCGGAACCGTCTTCTTTCACTCTTCGAAATAAGCCATCTGATCAAGAGATATGCCTTCGAATTCTTTGGGATCTGTGGAGATCTTCTTGGAGAGGAGGGGTTGTTTTGTAATGTATTGAACCCAGACCCGAAACAAGGTTAAGGCTCTGTGATTCAGTTCCTCTCTTCCCCGTTGGTGGAATGCCAAACAGCGGAAAGTGCAAAGATGATCATCGTATAGACTGCCGTTTTGTTTTTTGTCTAGAGCGAGGATGGATTTGGATAACTTGATGTATTCCGGAAGTTGGAGAGGGGCAACCAAGATATAACCGAGGTGGTCAAGACTGAAATGTACGTTCGTCACCAACACAGGCTTCCATTAGGTGTTGGGTCTCTGCCTCAGAATGTAGTCTCCGACGTTCTAGCGCTCTAACCGTCGTTTAAGCTTGAGTAGATCTTGACGTTTTGACACGTAGATGGGTCTGTCAGATAGGGAGTGGTTGGAAAACGGACGAAAATACCGGAACTCCCCCGTTTCGACATGGACCAGTAGGAGCCCAAACTCTAGATTGAGTCTGAAAGCGTGCTGTTGCCGCTCGTAAATTTCCTCCACAGCCTCCATTAATTCGTGCGAGGAAAAGTCGTTCGTCAGAGGTTTGTTGTACATAGAATATAGAATGTACGTTCCCTTCGCGGTGTCGCTGGAGTATGAGTGGGGTGTTAATGTCGTACACCTCTTGAAGAGGTTTGTTGTCCTGCCAGGGTTCCTCTCCCCTGATATAAGGAGAAGGTTGTAGGAATCCAGCTCCTCTCTGAACGTGCTCTCGCATCCCCTGAGCGTAGAGGTCTCTGCGATTCCTAAAGGTGGCAGGGCAACGACGACACTGGAGAACACCGTGACTCGGACCTGGTTGTCACCACTCGGACGACGTGGCTCTAGTCTCGACTGTGGTTCGGTGTTGACATCTTTCCCATCTTTGGGACCCCGCAAAGATACTCGGCACTGTAAAATAGATCGATATATTTCCCATGAAAAAAAAATGATTTCATTGATCATTCAAGAAACCTTCCATCTCATATACTTTTTAATATCGTTGGATCATGAAACTTACCCTGGATTCTTTTTTTAATAAGATATTGATGTAATTGAAATAACCGTGAGTGAAATTACGAGTAATGTTAAAGTTGGGGGGGGTTACCTGTGAGCGTATGAGTAATAATTCTGATATGTATTAAAAATATATGTATGGAAAAAAATTATAATAAGATACTTTTTATATACTATGTTTAAAAATTGATATGTGACTATCTTAGATATGTAATTAAAAAAAAATATGAACATTTACATGAAGTTGACAAAAATATATACGTTTAAAAAATAAGACACATTTGAAAAAAAATGTTTTATTTTCGTTACTCTGCTTTTATTTTATACAGGTAAAAAAAAAATAAATAAAAATAATAAAGATTAATGATAATTGCTTTTATTTTATACGGGTAAAAAATAAATTTTAAAAAGATGATATAGATTACTGACTAATCGAGTGTAATTATCAAAATGATGATGGGAGAATAAGATTTTTTAAAAAATTAAAATTAATAAAGCTTTTTAAAAAGGTGAGGTAAATAATTCGAGATTAGGATTTAACACTAGAAATTTTGAGTTATCTTTCTTAGAGCACTAAAGGTAAATGACTTGTACAGCTTTTGTCGCGAAAATTCAGTGTAAACAAACCAGACAAAGGGAATGTAGAAAACAATGTTTTATCTGCCTGAATGATCTTTATATATTTCCAATTACATAAATACAACCCACAGAACACTCGTACAGCAAAATTTTCATTATCTTTCGATATCATTTTTATAAATAGTATTTTTGATATTGATAAAAATACATGCAAGCTATAAAGACAACTCAAATCAGATTTGATTATTAATAAAGTTAAAAAAATTACTCAGTATGTAGATAAAAACCTTAACATTACTATTATTTTATATCTTAAATTCTGTATTCATCTCAATTAAGACCAGGTAGATTTTCTATTAGCCATTTTAGAAACTTTCCTCATGTTGTCCCCAATTTCACACCTACCATCGCTATTTAGTTTAGTACTTTTATTTACCAAAAAAAACCCGACCTGAAGTCTCGATTGACAGCAGCTGTATTGATAGGTCATCACGACATTGGGTCTTGATTGACATGATAATGGTTAATTGGTAGTAAATAAAGGTACATTGCGGTAGAGTAACGTTAAAAATCTCGAGGAGATTAACACTTAAGAACAGCATGTCCAAATTTTCTTTATATGGAACTCTAGTTTATCTGAATACTGTTGAATAATAAATCTCATTATAGGACCTTTCATGAGTGTGGTGTGTTGTTGAGTTTTCATTAACCGAGACATTATATAAAAAAGGTGTTCTAAATGACGATGTTTCAGGTGCTAGGAGAGAGGAGGTACATGGCTTTATATTACCACTCTCAGATAATTTCCCCCTCTTTCCTTTCAAACTGTCGGGAAAGTAAGTACTTCTTGAAAATAATTTGTAGCTTTTACATTATAATATAAAATATTTCATTTTTTATTTCATAGTAATATTACGTCAATGTCTCTTGCAGATGTCTTACATCTTCCAGCCGATGGATACCAGCACCCCCAGGGTAGTAATCGTAAGTAGTTCATTTGAAATTCATAACTTTCACGATGGAATGATATGTATCTTTTTCTGATACTTAGCTTCTTCATTGATATTTGTTTTCTTTTCTAAACGTGTAATGTTTGCATTTAAGATGCCAATACACAATTATATATATATATATATATATATATATATATATAT